CAACTCAAAAAAAAAAAAGAATGAGGTGACTGAATTTACATTGAACCAAAGTTTGATGCTGGGTAACTTTTATTTTCTCATAGAGCTTAACATTTGGTAAGTGCTCAGATGTTGATTGATTTTACCCTAATGCTCTTAAAAATATTTTACTTCCTCAAAATCTCAAAGTACTTGTTTATATTTTTTTCTTCTTAAATAATAGCAGTTACCACCAAAGCTTTTTTTCTTTTGAGTTGGAGTCTGACTCTGTCGCCCAGGCTTAGAGTGCAGTGGCACGCTCACGCTCACGGCCACCGCAGCCTCCCAAGTAACTGGGACTACAAGCAGGCACCCAGCTGCTTTTTTGAGTTATTGTAGAGATAAGGTTTTGGCAAGTTGGCCAGGCTGGCCTTGAACCCATGGACTCAGGCAGTCTTCTCACTTTAGTCTCCCAAAGCGCTGGGATTATAGGTGTGAGCCAGCACACCCAGCCGACCACCAAAACCTTTAAGAAAAACCTTAAACCCTCCATTCTGTGGAGCCATGCTGTCCTCACATCTCTTCCTGTAATTATTACCTGGGGCAACCTCCTAGGGTCCCCTCCCACTGTGGGAGCTTTTCTGTCCTCTCAATAAATCCCGCTTTAAAAAAAAAAAAAGTTATCTGAAGTGGCATTAGGATCCCAAATCACTATTTCAGGACACACTTTTTTTTTTTTTTTGAGTTGGAGTCTCACTCTGTCACCCAGACTGGAGTGCAGTGGCATGCTCCCGGCCACCGCAGCCTCGACCTGCTGGGCTCCGGCGATCCTTCTGCCTCAGCCTTCCAAGTAGCTGGAACTACAGGCATGGGCTACCATGCCTGGCTAATTTTTGATTGCCCGGGCTGGTCTCGAACCTGTGGGCTCAGGCAATCCTCTCACCTCAGCCTTCCAAAGTGCTGGATCATAGGTGTGAGCCACCGCACCCGGCCTTCAGGAAACTGACAAAAATGGAGCTGACTTTCAGAACTCAAGCTTGATCTTCCTGTAAAATTATTAGAGATGAATCTTATCAAAACATATTATTATGTTTCTTTTGACAGATTATTATCTTTCTTTTGACAGAAAGACATGCTGAATCACTGCTTGACATTTGTCATGATACAAACTCTTCTCCAGCTGATGTGATGTCAGTTACCCAAAATCAAAACATCATCTTGCGAAGCATCAGCAGCAGTGAGGTGAGATCCTCCCTTTAAAGAAACAACTAACAAAAAATGGATAACCTACTCCACCTACTACTTCATTTGCCTTGCTCAAATACTTCGTAACAACCATGTATTACAATTATATTTTTAAATGTAATTACACAAAATGTAAAGCACAATTAGTAAGACACTCTTCTGAGAGTCTAATCTCAGAGTCGTAATTAGCTAGTCAACTCTGAGTCTCATGCCTGGCGTGTGTGTGTGTGTGTGTGTGTGTGTGTGTGTGTGTGTGTGTGTGTGTGTGTGTGTCTGTGTGTGTCTGGGCTGCTATAACAAAGCTCCAAGATCAGGATGTTAGCATGGATGGGTTCTGGTGAGGACCCTACTCCGAGTTACAGACTGCCAACCTCTTATTGTGTCCTCACATGATGGAGAGAGACAGTTAGCTCTTTGAGGTTACTTTTTTTCCCCCTGAGTTGGAGTCTCACTCTGTCACCCAGGCTGAAGTGCAGTGGCATGATCATTGCCACTGCAGCCTCAACCTGTTGGGCTCAGGCGATCCTTCCGCTTCAGCCTTCCAAGTACCTGGAACTACAGGTGTGCGCTACCATGCCCAGATTATTTTTTGATTTATTGTAGAGGTGAGGTCTCGCCAAGTTGCCCAGGCTGGTCTGGAACCCCTGACCTCAGGTAGTCCTCTCGCCTCCACCTCCCAAAGTCCTGGGACTACAGGCTCGAGCCACCATGCCCGGCCTGGGGTTATTTTTAAGGGCAATAGTACCATCATGAAGACTCCACTCTCATAACCTAATCACCTTTCCAAGGCTTCACCTCCTAATGCCATCACATTGGTGGTTCGGATGAATTTTGGTGGGATACAAATATTCCATTTGTAACAACGATGTGTATGTGTGTGGGTGTATCCAATACTGCAGAAGACTGTTGCAGCTGAATTCACACTAAATAATCAAATGTGGTTTGCTTTTATGCATGCTTATATTGAAAAGGAGAAGACCATTAATCTGATCATATCAAATCCATCATTGGTACCTCTTCACGGCCCTGGTCATCATTCTGCCCACAAGGAATGCCTCCAAAAAAGCCTCCGATAGTACATTAACAGTATTAGTAACAAACATTGTGACCCATAGAAAACTTTGGAATGAGACCCAAGATGTACAACAAACTGACAACCGTGTTTGCCTACAGAGAGAGAACTAGAGATTACTCCACACTGTGTGCTCATTTGTATCTTTTAAATGTTCATAAAAATCAATATAGCCCAAAGATCTTACTGCTCGTTGTTTTATTGGTAAGGAAAAATATAGCCATAAAATTGTTTATTTTTAAAAATTAATAAGGTATGGAGTCTAATTTATAAACAAAGGGAAGAGTTTTGGAAGTAGTAAAGACCTTTCAGTTCCCTTTTCCTTCCAAAATTCATCCTAAAATAGCAAAGAAAACAAAAAAAAAACATATAGCTTTTTCATTTTTATTTTGAAATAATAAAAATTTCACAAGAATGTGTGAAAAATAACACAGAGGAGCCCTGTGTACCCTTCACAGCTTCCTCCACTGGGAACTATTATCATGACGATAGTAATTATTAAAATTGAGACATTGATATTGACACAGTGCAATTCACTAGACTGCAGACCTTGATTGGGTGTCACCAGTTTTTATAGGCAAAGAAAACCTTTTTGTTTCTTTCTCCGTGTGTATGTATAGTTCTATGGCATTTTATCCCCCGAATCACCACAATCAAGATAGACTTGTTCTGTCACCACAAATGAATTCCCTCCTCTCACCTTTTTATAATCCTTTCCTAATCCTCACCTGTTCTCCATATCTATAATTTTGTCATTTCAAGAATGTCATATAAATGGAATTATTATACCTGTAGATTTTTTAGCGTGGCTTTAACTTCTACTCAGCATAGTATTGGTGACATAGATGCAAGTTGGTACGTGTATTACTAGTTTCTTTTGTTGCTAGGAGTATTCTGCAGTATGGATGTTCCACAGTTTGTTTAGTCATTAATCTTTTGAAAGACATTGGGTTGTTTCCAATTTTTGGCTATTTACAAATTAATCTACTATGAACATTCATGTACAGATTTTTTTTTTTTGAGTTGGAGTCTTACTCTGTCACTCAGGCTGGAGTGCAGTGGCACGTTCATGGCCACCGCAGCCTCGACCTACTGGGCTCAGGTGATCCTTTTGCTTCAGCCTTCCAAGTAGCTGGAACCACAGGCATGTGCCACCACACACATTTTTTGATTTGTTGTAGAGATGAGGTCGCGCCATGTTACTCAGGCTGGTCTCGAACCCCTGAGCTCTGGCAATCCTCTCGCCTCTGCCTCCCAAAGTGCTGGGATTACAGACTTGAGCCACTGTGCACGGCCCCGTGTACAGATTTTTGTGTGAACTTAAGTTCATTTCTTAAGTTCCACAAATCCAGTTGCTGTATCATATGGTAAATGTATGTTTAACCTAAAAAAAAACCTGTCAAATCTTTTTCCACAGTGGCTATCCCATTTTATATTCCTACCAGGCAATGAAGGAGATATCTGGTTTCTCTGCACCCTTGCCCTCACCTAGCACTGTCAGTATATATATATATATATATATATATATATTTTTTATTGAGTCAGAGTCCCACTCCGTTGCCTAGGCTGGAGTGTAGTGGCACACTTCTGGCCACCCCAGCTCCGACCTGCTGGGCTGCAGCAATCCTTCCACCTCAACCTTCCAAGTAGCCAGAACTACAGGTGTGCGCTACCACACCCAGTTAATTTTTTTTTTTTAATTTATCTTAGAGAGCAGGTCTCGACAAGTTGCCCAGGTTGGTCTTGAACTCGCAGGCTCAGGCAATCCACTCGCCTTGGTCTCCCAAAGTGCTGGGATTAGAGGCTGAGCCACCAAACCCAGCCTAGCACTGTCAGTATTTTTTTATTTCAATCATTCTAGTAGGTGTATAGTGGTATCTCATTGTGGTTATAATTTGCATTTTCCTTATGTCTGATATTAAACATTTTTTCATGTGTTTATTTGCCATCAGTATACATTGTCTGTTCAAGTATTTTGCCCATTTTCTAATTGAATAGTTGGTTTCCTTATTGTTGGGTTTAGAAAATACGTTATATAGTCCAGATATGTGATTCGCAGATATTTTCTCCTACTCAGGAGAAAACTTGAGGCTGGGTGCGATGGCTCACATCTGTAATCCCAGCACTTTGGTGGACTGAAGCGGGAAGACTACTTGAGCCAGGAGGTTAAGACCAACTTAGGCAACATACCAAGACTTCGTCTCTACAAAAGTAATTAAAAAAATTAGCTGGATGTGGTGGTGCACACCTGTAGTCCCAGCTACTGGGGAGGCTGAGGCAGGAAGATTGCTTGAGTCCAGGAGTTTGAGGCTATGATGAACCATGGTTGTGCCATTACACTCTGATCTGGGTGACAGAGTGAGACCCCAACTCAAAAAAAAATTATATGCAACAACAATAGAGATAATTTTCACAAATATTCTCTTGAGCAAAATAAACTAGGAATAAAATAGTAAATACTGTATGAGTCCATTTATATAAAGGTAAAAGGAGAAATAATAAATCTATGATGTTGAATTCAGGATAGTGGCTGCACAAGAGTGTCCTTTGAGGATGTTTGCTCTGGTGCTGGTTACACAAATGTGTTCATTAATCTATATATTTATGGTATGTGCGCTTTTCTGAATGTATGCTAAATTTAAATAAAAAATAATGGAAAACAGGAAGTGTGGAGTGCCTTCAAATACCTGACAAAAGAACATGGTTTCAGCCAGGCATGTTGGCACACACTGTGGTTCCAGCCACTTGGGAGACTAAGGCAGGAGGATCACTTGAGCCTAGGAATCCAAGGCCAGTCGGGGCAACCTAGTGATACATTATCTCAAAAAAATTAATTATTCAAATAATAATAATTTTAAACTAGAATTCTGTAACCAAACTATCAATCAAATATTCGAGTTGAATGAAGACTTTTTCAGATGCACATCTCTTAAACATTTTACTTTTCATGCATGCTTTAAGGAAGCTTAGTAGTTCTCTATTAAATCAAGGGAGTAAACAAAGAAAGAGAAAAAAATGGAATCTATGATTCACGGGGTCTGTCACCCAACATAAGAGAGAAGAGGGAACCATTGAGACAACGGAGAATGCAAATTGCAGATCTTCAACTATGTAGCAGCTCTGGAGAACAAAGAGTTCGGATCATTGGAAGATGGGCTAAGGAGAAGCAGGATAATGAAAACAGAACTGATATATTTGACCAAGTGGAGAGACCATTGGAGTTTGAGAAGATTTAGGCATTGGAAAAAAAAATAAGAAAATGAATAAAACAAGCCAACTGGAAATAAGATTTTTAGGGCCGGGAAATGATATTCTGTATGCTGCTATAATGGTGGATACAGGTCACTATGCATTCGTCCAAACCCATAGAATGTACAACACCAAGAGTGAACCCTAATGTAAACTATGGACTGGATGATATTAATGTGTCAAACCAGTCCAACAAATGGACCACTCTGGAGGGGGATGTTGCTTATTGGGAAAGCTATACATGTGTGCAGATAGGGGCATATGGAAAATCTCTATATCTTCCTCTTAATTTTACCATGGACCTAAAACTGCTCTTTAAAAAATTATTTAAATAAACCAAAGTCATGCAAGAAATAAAATATGCTACACTACAGTTATACTACTGCATAGTCCACTCATAATCATAATGTGCAGTTTGACGTTTTTTGTTGTTTTTTGAGTAGGGGTCTCACTCTGTTGCCCAGGCTAGAGTGCAGTAGCACAGCCACGGCTCACCACAGCCTCGACCTCTTGGGCTCAGGTTATCCCTCTGCCTCAGCCTACTGAGTAGGTGGGACTACAGATGAGCACCACCACACCTGGCTAGTTTTTTCTTTCTTTTTTTTTTTAGAGACAAAGTGTGGTGAGCTGTAATTATGCCACTGCACTCCAGCCTGGGTGGTGAAATGAGAAACCAATTTTTAAAAAATCTTTTTCAGAAGAGTTTAGAGTACTTGTTATGAATCAAGTTGTTTTCAGCCCTGTTTTTTGGCATAATGATTATTTTCTAGAGGTTGAAAACAAAGTTTGAGAGGTTGTGTGCCGTGATTAGATCAGAACACTATCATAATGAAAACTTTAATCAGCTTTGCTATCTCCTTCAGTATAGGGTTATATCTGTAGCTTCCACAAGGGGCAGGGATTTCCACCCTCACCATTTGTCAGTGATGCCCCAGGGAGGCATTATGGGAAAAATCACGTTCCTTTGGAGTTGTTCACTGTGACTGTGGCCGAAGGATTCTTTCCAGTTACCCACCCGGATGGAATTTGTGACAGCTTAGCAACCTGCATGCCAAGATGATAAAGTATAAAATGTTGAATTTCTATGTGTCTCTATGATTTCAGCTTTGATCTTTGTTTTTGATTATGCAATTAATCACACCCACAACTGTCTGAGCCTGGTGCTCCAGGGGCAGATACTTGCCCATTATTTGCGTCCTAAATACTTTAAACCAATTTTAAAAGGAATGCTTGGTATGAAACTTTAGCCTAGAAAATCAACATTCACTCTGCCAACAAAGTAGTATATTGAATAACTGAGTTTTTATTTTGTGACATTGCAGGAGTTTGACCAAGATGATGACTTCAGTCATCCCCTACTTGTCAGTGAAGAGGGAGGTCCCAGTGGTGTCCGACAGGCCTGGCAACCCAGGACAGAAGGTATCCCGCTTCTGTCCTTGATGTGTTAACAAAGAAAACATTAAGCCGGGCTTGGTGGCTCAGCCTGTAATCCCGCACCTTTGGGAGGTTGAGGTGAGTGGATTGCCTGAGCCTGCGGGTTCGAGACCCGCCTGGGCAGCGAGACCTCATCTCTACAATAAATCAAAAAATCAGCTGGGTGTGGTAGCGCATGCCTGTAATTCCGGCTACTCGGAAGGCTGAGGTGGAAGGATCGCCGGAGCCCAGCAGGTCGAGGCTGCGGTGGCTGGGAGCGGCCACTGCACTCCAATCTGGGGACAGAGTGAGACTCCAACTCTAAAAAAACAAACAAACAAAGAAAACGTTGAATATATGGACCTCCCCCCTACATTCAGAAGTGGTCAGCTTAACTGTCAGCTGTTGTCCTTGGGCTATTGTTCCCCTTGAGGGAAAGGTGGAAGAACTAACAAGACAAGAAAGCCCCAAGTTAAAGTCTCTTATTCGGCAAAGCCATACTTCTGGAATTTTCCAGAACAACCCTCATTTCAAACAGGCTATCCTGTCATACCCCTAAAACACACGAAAAACACAAAGGAAAAGAAAAACGACTCATAATGCTACCCTTTGGTCCATACTTGAATCAGTGATTCTGAGAACTCGTCTCTGCCAAAATGAACAACTCTCCTCTGGCACTTTGTATGTATTTATTTAATTATATATATATTTTATTTTAAAATTGTGGGGTACAGTTAAGGGTGAGGGATACAAATATTCATTGTGCAGGTACCCTTGTTGATGAGGTATGCCCCCCCTTTTCCAGACAGACATTGACTACCTTTAGTCTCACCTCCCTGCCCCTCTCTGCCCCCTGCCCCCTGTCATTTCCGACCACTGTCGATCCTTTTCTTATAGTATTACGGTAGTTGTTCAAGGTCCATTTATAAGTGAGAACATGTGATACTCAGATCTTTGTTTCTGTGAGAGATCACTCAGTATCGGCACTTTTTCTTTTAAAGGTGGGATCTCACTCTGTTGCCCAAGGCGGAATGTAGTGGCATGATCATAGCTCACCACAGATTTGTCCTCCTGGGCTCAGTCAATCCTCCCACTTCAGCCTCTGGGGTAGCTGGTACTAAGGTGCACACCACCACACCTGGCTAATTTAAAAAATTTTTGTCCTGTGTAGGATGAGGTCTCACTGTGTTGCCTAGGCTGGTCTTGAACTCCTGGGCTCAAGCGATCCTCCTGTCCTCCTGCCTTAACCTCCCTAAGATTACAGGTGTGAACCATTATACCCAATTATGGCTCTTTTTTTTTTTTTTTTTTTTTGAGTTGGAGTCTCCCTTTGTCACCCAGGCTGGAGTGCATTGGCACACTCAAGGCCACCCCAGCGTTGATCCGCTGGGATTCGGAGATCCTTCCATCTCAGTCTTTCAAGTAGCTGGAATTACAGGCGCGCGCTACCAGGCCCGGCCAATTTTTGATTTATCCTTGACACCAGGTCTCGCCAAGTTGCCCAGGCGGGTCTCGAACCCGCGGGCTCAGGCAATCCACTCACCTCGGCCTCCCAAAGTGCTGGGATTATAGGCCAAGCCACCGAGCCCGGCCACCGAGCCTCTTTTATTTCACTCCACTCCAGCTCAGCCAGCCATTCCTATCTCCTTTTTTGTCTGATAACATCTTTTCCCCATCTCTTTCCTCTCAGAATCTTCCATCAGCTCTAGGAATCTGTTCTCTTCCAGAGCCCTGCGTGTCCCCATCAGCTGTTGTCCCTGGGTTGCCGTTCCCCTGGAGGGGAAGGTGGAGGAATGAACAAGACATGAAAGCCCCGGGTCGAAGTCTTTTATTCGACAAGCCCATACCTCTGGAATTTTCCAGAACAGCAGCCATTTCAAACATGCTATCCTGTCACATCCCTAAGTGCCCTTCCCTTGACAGAACACAAGGTATTTGCAGATTCTCGCTTCAGAAAACGGTCACGTTTTTTTTCAGCCACAGCTGACACATTTGTCTACCATCTGTTTGTCTATAACCTTAAATTAAACGTTTATTCGAACTGCTGCAGTTTCTCCCTGGCAATTTTCTGGCTTCCATTTCTGACACTCCAGGGAAGCTGCCCTCTTCAATGGCTTTTTTTCTCAGCCCTTCTCACCGCCCTGAAGACTGCAGCGCTTTCCTGGCCGTGGTCCCCTCCAGCCCTTGTGCGATGCTGCCCCCTCCTGGGCAGCCTCCTGCCTTCCTTGTCCTCCCTCAGAATCTCCTCTCCCCAGGCCGAGGGCTCAGAATAATTTAGTAACGGTTAAAATTATGAACACCACGAAGCCTGAAAGAGCTCATGAAAGAAACAAGTCCTGAAATCCTTCTGAAAGATCTTTGCAATCTGCCTTTTGACTTTCATAGACTTCACTGCAGAATTCTTTCTAGCCCAATGGTGTCACAAACACCTTCCGAGAGCTTCAATATTTCACTTATTCTGCTCAACCTGGAGATGTCTGGCCATTTGGGATGCTAGTCATTCTCTTAAAGTTGATTTGTAATATTTTCAGTTTTCATTAGGAGCCATAATACTCATGTAGCATCTTCACTAAGCTCTTGCAGTTGTAAGCTGTAATAACTGTGATTACAGATTTGAAAGGAACAACTGTCTTTCTGATAAAATTCTTTCTCACAGTTGTTAGACACTTCCATCGAGCTAGTAACTTTTCAATCACAAAGTCTGAAATAAGTTGTTTGAGCATTATTGTGCATTGCATTCATTTAAAGTATCATCTTAAATGTCTTTAAATATCAATTTAGTCTTTTTTGACCAGACATGGTGGCTCACACCTGTAATCTTAGCACTTTGGGAAGCCAAGACAAGAAGGTTGCTTGAGTCCAAGAGTTTGAGATCAACCTGGGCAACATAGGGAGACCTCATTTCTAAAAAAAAATTTTTTTTAATTAGCTGAGTATGGTGGTGGGTGCCTGTAGTCCCAGCTACTTGGGAGGCTGAGGCAGGGGGATCACTTAAGCCCAGGAATTTGAGGCTGTGATGAGCCATAATCATGCTACTGCACTCAAGCCGGGGTGACAGAGTGAGTCCCTGCCTCAAAAAAAAAAAAAAATCAGCCTGGCTCGGTGGCTTAGCCTGTAATCCCAGCACTTTGAGAGGCTGAGGTGGGTGAATTGCCTGAGCCCGTGGGTTCGAGACCAGCCCAGGCAACTTGTCGAAACCTCGTCTCTACACTAAATCAAAAATTAGCTGGGCATGATAGCGCATGCCTGGAGTTCTGACTACCTGGAAGGCTGAGGTGGAAGGATCGCTGGAGCCCAGCAGATCGACTCTGGGGTGGCCGTGAGTGTGCCACTGCACTCCAGCCTGGGCAACAGAGTGTGACTCTGACTCAAAAAAAAAAAAAATTCTTTAATGCCATTTAGATGTTATTAATGTTATTAATGTTTAACGTGCTTGCACACCATATGAAGACCTTATGCATGTAACATGTGACTATTTAGTCTGGTGTAGAAATACACATTTAATAATTGAGTTTATATTTGCTTGTCTATCATATTATTCTATTTAAAAGGGAACATCACTAATTAAAATATATGTAAACTCCACCACGTTTGAATCACTCCCATAGACCTTAATATTCTTTATGGAGAACTTAAGTATTCCGGCAGTGTACATTTGCTTTATTATTATGTATTATTTGCTTTTGTAGATGGTAATGTGTAAACCACAATTTATAAACAAAAAAGGAATCCTTCATCCTTTTCCTTAGTACAAAAATTTTCTTGTATTTATCAAGCAACTATTTTCTCAGAACATAATAGAAACAAATCTTGTAAACTGGAAACTAGGCCTATACGTTTATTCTTTTCTTGAGTGAACAAGTACCACTTCCTAAAACTACTGGACTTAAAACATTTTTTGGAAAAACATAGTGTAAATCCCTCAGAATTCTTAGTCACAGGGAACAGAACCTGCTCTTAGTTGAGTTAAAAGGGAAGAAATTTGGAAAGATATTAGAATGTTCATAAACCATTGAAAAAGTAGGAGAAACTGTCTAAGTTCACTCATGTTGCCATAACAAAATACCATAGACTGGTGGCTTAACAGAAGACATTTATTTTCTCACGGTTCTGGAGAATGGGAGTTTCAAGACCAAGGTTTTTGCAGGGATCCTTTTCTGGTGAGGGCTTTCTTCCTGGCTTGCAGATGGTTGTTTTGTCCTCTCCTGGCTCTTCTGCATGTACAGAGAGCACACAAGTGAGAGAGCTCTTCTCTCATATAGACATTTGTCCAGTGGGATCAGGGACCTACCTTTATGACTTCATGTAATCTTAATTCTTCCTGAGGGGCCCCATCTCCAACTATAGCCACACTGGGGGTGAGGGCTTCAGCTTATGAATGTGGGGTACACAAACATTCAGTCCATAACAGGAAGAGTGTACTTTGGATTGTCAGGAAATATCTCATAACTACATCTCAAAACTGGCCGCAGCTGATCCCCCCATCATAGTGCCTCTGCCGTAGCAGGGAGCTGTGCCCACTGTCAACCTGAGAACCCCTTCTTTTGCTGACACTTACATCAGCACAAAGAATGCCTGTACCTCGTCTTTCTTCATGTAACTCGCACTCATCAGTCTCTACTAAGCTGTCCGAACTCTGATGGCACAGGAAGCTGGAAAATAGTTTTTTCTGGTTTATGTTTTTTAGAAAAAGTCTGTGTTGAGATTCACAATTTAGGAAATTGTCAGACATGGAGAAAGCATTAAAATATTTTGAACTTCAGTGCCCACAATCCAGACAGATAGGCGCATCAATTTAAAAAGAACAAGGAGGACAAACAGCAAAGTAAAACTGGAGAAAATAATCTTTCTTCATTGAATGAGCTGGGCTAGACCAGATTTTAAGTTTCTTTTCTTTGCCTTTCTCTTTACTTTCTTTTCTTTTCTTTTTTTAAGAGACTGTTTTACTTTTTTTATTTTTATTTTTTTAATTTTTTTTTTTGAGTTGGAGTCTCACTCTGTCTCCC